CTAAATTAGGGAAGGCTAGCGCAGATAGCCCTCGTGTAGCTTTGCGCGAAATTCAAAACAAACAAACAAAGCTAGTGCTATATCAGAATTGTGCTGTTCGTCGTCAAGTCAAATTGGCGAGATTTTGCGACTATCGGTTTAATAAGAAGACATGCAAACATATCACGAAGAGTTTAAAGCCTAACAACTAGCTTCACCAATCCTTTACTTGTCACACTTAGTACGTAATCCTTTAGATGCGAACATTTCATGTTTGTTTGTTTTTTTCGCGAACTTTGAGCTAATAGTACTGAAATCTAATTGATTTATCTCTCGGTTATTGTTAAAGTTTTTACAGCATTAATTCCATTTCTGTCATAATTAGAAATTAGCCCCCCTACACACTCACACAAACACAAAAAAGACATCCACTAGATAGAACACAAACCCCCTCCCTCCTTTTTCTTTTTATAGGTTAATCAGACATTACTTTTTTATGTAAAGATTAATTAAGCGATATATTTTAATAGATGTCCCTGGCCACATCTCGTAATTTTAATAGATATCTCTGGCCACATCTCGTTATTTTAATAGATATCTCTGGCCACATCTCGTTATTTCAATAGATATCCCCTGACACATCTTATTTTAATAGATATCCCTGGCCACATCTCCTTATTTTAATGCCCCTCAGTGGCACAGCGGTATGTCTGCGCACTTACAACGCTAGAATCCGGATTGCGATACCCATGGTGGGCAGAGCACAGATAGCCCATTGTGTAGCTTTGTGCTTAATTACAAACAAACAAACCTTATTTAAATAAATATCCCTAGCTACATCTTATTTTAATAGATGTCCCTGGCCACATCTCCTTATTTTAATAGATATCCCTGGCCACATCTCCTTATTTTAATAGATATCTCCTGCCACATCTCTTTATTTTAATAGATATCCCTGGCCACATCTCCTTATTTTAATAGATATCTCTGGCCACATCTCGTTATTTTAATAGATATCTCTGGCCACATCTTATTTTAATAGATATCCCTGGCGACATCTCGTTATTTTTCCTCATAATAGTATTTATAATTTGTGAATGCCAGTTTCTATGGTTATTAAAACAAAAAAATATTCTCTACTGCTGAAATTTTGTCCACCCTGTAGATTATTCTTGAGCCACGGATTTTCCACATCAGTAGTCTTGTATCTAAGCTTTCACTGGTCAGATTTCGATGAAACAATACCTCTCTGGAAAGTTTGTCTAGGAAGTTTAGAATTGAGTAATACTTCCTCCAGAAATGACGAGATATCTTTATGTAAACGATGCTTCCAGTTTCACGCGACTGCGGATAAGTAAATATGTTATAATTCAATCATCATGAAAATAACACAACATTATAGGTCAATATACTATATATTTTTGTATTTCTTCTTTTGTTAATTATGATGATAAGTTCTCGTTACATTTTTTTACACTAAAAGAAACCAGCACATCTGTACCGTTCTCACCAGTTCAGTGATATTATAACAACACTTATTACTATCTAACAGTCACATCTCACCAGATCAGTGACATTATAACATCACTTATTACTATATAACAGTCACTTCTCACCAATTCAGTGGCATTATAACAACACTTATTACTATATAACAGTCACATCTCACCAGTTCAGTGACATTATAGCAACACTTATTACTACATAATAGTCACATCTAACCAGTTCAGTGACATTATAACAACACTTATTACTACATAATAGTCACATCTAACCAGTTCAGTGACATTATAACAACACTTATTACTATATAACAGTCACATCTCACCAGTTTATTGACATTATAACAACACTTATTACTATATAACAGTCACATCTAACCAGTTCAGTGACATTATAGCAACACTTATTACTATATAACAGTCACATCTAACCAGTTCAGTGGCATTATAACAACATATTACTATATAACAGTCACATCTAACCAGTTCAGTGACATTATAGCAACACTTATTACTATATAACAGTCACATCTAACCAGTTCAGTGACATTATAGCAACATATTACTATATAACAGTCACATCTAACCAGTTCAGTGACATTATAACAACATTTGTTACTATATAATAGTCACATCTCACCAGATAAGTGATATTATAACAACACTTATTACTATATAATAGTCATATCTAACCAGTTCAGTGACATTATAACAACACTTATTACTATATAACAGTAACATCTAACCAGTTCAGTGACATTATAACAACACTTATTACTATATAACAGTCACATCTAACCAGATCAGTGACATTATAGCAACACTTATTACTATATAACAGTCACATCTCACCAGTTCAGTGACATTCTAACAACACTTATTACTATATAACAGTCACATCTCACCAGTTCAGTGACATTATAACAACACTTATTACTATATAACAGTCACATCTCAGCAGTTTATTGACATTATAGCAACACTTATTACTACATAATAGTCACATCTCACCAGTTCAGTGACATTATAACAACACTTATTACTATATAACAGTCACATCTCACCAGATCAGTGACATTATAACAACACTTATTACTACATAACAGTCACATCTCACCAGTTCAGTGACATTATAACAACACTTATTACTATATAACAGTCACATCTAACCAGTTCAGTGACATTATAACAACACTTATTACTATATAACAGTCACCTCTAACCAGTTCAGTGACATTATAACAACACTTATTACTATAAAACAGTCACATCTCACCAATTTATTGACATTATAACAACACTTATTACTACATAATAGTCATTTCGCCGACGTATTACAATTTCAGTAAAATATCTTGTTTTTCTGCTTGTTTCAATACTAGTCATAAATAATTATTACCACACACGTGTTCTCTAAAATATAAGAAATGTTTATAAAGAAGGAAAACATGAAAGTTCTTCCCTGACACATGTTTATACAATTATTCCTAAAAACGTATGGAAAACGACAATCCTGTAGAGAGAAAAAAGTACTATAAAATGGTATGTTCACTATTGATACTTTAAAAGGAAAAGCGGATCCAAAGAAAGAAAGCAAGTAGTCCTAGCCTTCTTATAAAGACTTCCCTATCTTCCTAACGTGAGGGCAGAGCACTTTACGTGTACACTGTTATTATTATATGAATTCAAATATTGGATACAAAAACATTGACAAAAAAATTAGGCATGGTCCTCAAGTAAATAGGGCGAAATGCTTGAAGTGTAATTACAAAAATATAAAGAATGGCAAACAAATGAACAAAATTAGATTACAAACAAACAACTCATCGAAACGTCGTGTTCGCAATGAACCTCAAAGCTATCATACAAAACAACATTCCTTATACAACATGCAAGGCTAATATATCCGTTGAATATTTGACAAACCGTGTTCACCATATATCTGTTCAGACTTATAAAGCGAGTAAGAAATTGTGGAGGACAAAGTTACAAGAGAATTGCCCGTTTTTGTTGTTGTTTTTTTGCAGCCTTTGCATCCAGAGGGTTCTATAACAAAAAAGAATGTTCAAAAAATGAAGTGTATTCTATTAAACTTTTTTTTTACACGCATATTCTTCTTCTCTAATGCTTCGATTTTCGTTGTTGTTGTTGTTGTTTGTTTTTTGCAGCCTTTGCATCCGGAGGGTTCTATACAAAAAAGTATGTTAAAAAAAATGAAGTGTATTCTATTAAACGTTTTTTTACACGCATATTCTTGTTCTCTAAGGCTTCGAAAAGTGTAGCATTTTTTTTTACATTTTATTTAGAATAACAACAAATCCCCAAACTCGCTGTTTGCTTTGTGTATTACAGCCTCTTATAATTCTGCATCTCATCCCTCAGAGACGTGGTTGACCCTGGGGTATCGACAAACCAGGTTCGGATCCAAGTTAAGCCGGAAATATTCCCCGCGCTTTAAGTAGCGGATGTGTTATAAGGGTGACCGTCGATCCCTTAGCGTGGATGATGGGTGCTGCTGACTGGCTGCATTTCCTTTGGTATATAGTTTAGAATTAGGGACAGCGAGAAATAGCCTTAGTAGCATTGTCACGCATGCAAATACAGGAACCTTAGTAACATTGCAAAATGCAAAACAAAAAACCCCAACAAACTCTTTCTTCAGAGCACGTGTAAAATAAAAGAGTGAGAAGAAATAGCCTCGTAATGCAAGACCTATGACCTTGATCATTGAACTGGTTTTCAACGAAATGCCCCCTGGGCAGTTACTTGAGGGATATAGAAGATAAGTATGAAATGCTATATTTATGTGGCTCTGGTTTGAAATTCGAATTGAATCAGAAAGAATGTGAAAAAAAACACACATCTACAATCGAAGTGATTTTCATTACAATTGTTAAGCCTATTGTATTATAATGCTACGCTACCTTTTAAACCGATTGTTTTTTTTTTACATATGTAGAAATAGTCTTTCAGATACCCATTTGTCTCTCATCGTCCAGACTACTGACGAGTTCCGGTATTTGCTGAAAGGCCACTCCGGCAGTACCTTATGGGACATAAATATAAATCTAAAGTACATTCAGTTGCCATCATCAACGCTACTATTTAGCATACTTATAGCATAATGCCCCCCCCCCCCAGTGGCACAGCGGTATGCTTGCGAAGTTAGAACGCTAGAAACCGGGTTTCGATACCCCTGGTGGGCAGAGCACAGATAGCCCACTGTGTAGCTTTGTGCTTAATTACAAACAAACAATCTAGCATAACGTCATCAATAGCATACTTTGTGTTTATTAATTCTAATAAGACTTGCTTTCTCCAAGCTGAACAGCAGTCATTAACATACTTGTTTATTTGTTAATTAAAACATCACTTACTTGCTTGTTGCAAGCAGAGAGGCAGTCAATAACGTATCTTTACTTGCCAGTTATAAGATAACACCCACTTATTCTAAACATCTTAAAATGTGTTCATTAAAATATAATCTTTCTACTCTGAGTACACTTGAAAATTTGTTGGAATAAAATGTTCCATCTATGTGTGCCCCCCCCCCAGTGGCACAGCGGTATGTCTGCGGACTTACAACACTAGAAACCGGGTTTCGATACCCGTGGTGGGCAGAGCACAGATAGCCCATTGTGTAGCTTTGTGCATAACTACAAACAAACAAATAAATCCATCTATGTATATTTTTTAAAAGTTGATTGGGCTATTGAAAAAATGAAAATTGTTACAGAATATTTCAATAGAACTGGCACGTTTTTTTTTAATTTATTTTCATTTTTAGAAACAATACCTAACACTCCAGCTTAGTAGGATATTTGAGTTGTGATTAGAACTAAAAACTCTTGACATATCAAGCGCTCTCGTAAAATAAACCTTTTAATTCGGGGATCAACTGAATTTTCTATTCGCCCCTGAAGCAGGGAGCTAACTTTTGAAAACTCGTATTATTAAAGCTTTTTCATGTTCTCTGATATCATGAATATATCCTATGTCATTTGGTTCACTTATTACTCTATTCCTCAACGAATAATTCGAAAAATCCTTCTGCGAAATACCTTTTACGTTTTAATCACAATGTAAAAAATTCTTATCATTATAATTAAAGTAATTTAGTGTCACTGTATATCTTTCTATAGTGTTAGCCTAAAGTTAAAGTTAATCAGCTCTGTATTTCATTAAAGATAAAACATCAAATGAAATATCTTCAATACTGCTTACTCACAAAAATAATCCTGAAAATTGCGCTTATTTTTAAACGTTGTTTATAGTAGTTGTTTCGGCACATTGCAGTGTTTTATGTGAGAAGTACCTCTGCATTATTTATCAACTCGTATTCGCGACTAGTTATAATAAAGACATATCATTATTATGTATGTTTTATTGATGATCAAGGAAGCACACGTGTTGAACTACAATTATATAGGATATTTACTTACTTTTCGGAAGGAATTCATGTCTGATCAATTGTGCTTGAATCAGTACTCTCGGCATCAAGAGACAAAATGCTGAACAGATGTGAAGAAACGGAGCAGTGGGTCCACCATGTCGCCACACTGTTTTTAGCCACCTAACGGAGGTTTTCCTTTTCAAATTTTGGTAAATAGCGTTGTCGTCGTGTTCGTTTCCAAGTTTACAGCCGTCGTTTGGATAATTGCCAACCTTAAATATGGCGGCCACTATGAAGAAAGGAAGCAAAACTACAGCGGCACCTATACAACCAACGTAAGCATTAAGTTCAAAATATGGCTGATCTTTTGCAGGCCATGACAAAACAATATATCTCATAAAACGTTGTATACTGCAGACAATAATGTAGATCTGGAAGGCTATCGCCATTGTGCAATACCAAATAGACCACAAGCTGTTGACTCTTGGATGATAACATCCCATTGGAGAATCGCCTCTTTTTTTTCTTCGAACCGTATCAACAGAGTGATTTCCTGTTGTTGCCATAGTAACACCTAGTAGCCCATTTATCTCAAAGAAACAAATACGATTATAGCTTTAAAAAGTATGGTTTTAAGGGTACATCACTGATGATCTAACTCATTGAAATGAGTCAGACCACAGAGTTTCCTTGTTCTGTCCGGTTTTGAGTTGATCAGTAGGATGTATGACGTCACTTAATGAGATCACTACTTACTTCATCACACAAGGTAGTCAAAGTCAGCTGACGTTATCCAATATTTACAATAATCCTGAAAATAAAACAAAAGCTAAAGATTAGTATGAAAAGGGAACAAAATATCTCAATCTCCGTAAAGCCTACAACGAACATATTTCAGCCATCTATGCTATATTTGTGTAAAGTTTCTTGAACACGTGATATCTTTCAACAGCTATTTATGTATTTTTCTCTGACTGTTATATTGTGATTCGGGATGAAAACCGTTTCATTTCAGAACCATACAAGCTATTATATTAAACATACTGTTGAAAAATCCCAGTTTCCCACTTCCGCTGAATATTAAACATACTGTTGAAAATCTCAGCTTCTCACTTCCGCCGGAAATGTGAAGAAGTATTTTCATTAACTCCTTCACTAATTCCTAATTATAATAGCTCTGAACATACTGCGAAAAAAAAAGAGAGAAAAATGACATTTTTTTAATCTAAAATTTCATGCTAATTGAATTTTGTATGTTACCTTATAAAGGTTATTAAATGTCGGTCATTTGTTACATAAGTCCATTACAGTACGTTTATTACAACATTGTTTAAGTATTGAGAAAACTTCAATTCACATTGCCAGCCTACAAGAAAACAGTTGATGTAGAATATTACAAAGATTTCAAGCAAGCTGATTGTTAAACTGCCTTTTTTTACTGCATTTATTTATCAACAGCCAGTCTGTTTAGTTGACTACATCTCTGCCTGATCATTCTACTAATGGTACCAAACACTTTCTACATCTTTGCATCTTACCAGTGGCGTAAGTATGCCCTCTGCAGCCCCCACAATCACAGGGGAGGGCGAGCCAATAGAAGGCCCGAATCGATCAGAACCATAATTACAATTATAGAGATATAACTATAGGGGGCCCATCATTTGTAGTTATGCCACTACATCTTAGCCTGTATTTCTCAACCTTTATTAATTCTTATACCTATATCTTTCTTTCTTGTCTTACATTCTTTCTAGTTGTTCGAACATCTGTCTGAAATAATGGAAAGTATTGAATTACCATCGAATGAATATAATAAGTGTTATATAATAGGAACGCTAATTCCTTGTGAGTTAGATCATTACTTTAAACTCGAATATTCTGACATGAATAACAACTGCATTAAAAAAAGAATTAGCATGACAACGAAAAAAGAAGAAAAGTAAACCTTTATAACAATAACAGAAAAAAAACAGATTAGAAAGAAAAGCGCTGTGTTATTTCACTAAAATGTCAAAGGTAAAAGTTGGCCTTTTACGTTTCTATATTTTTACGCGCATGAATACACTGTCGTCACGCACGGTAACGTATGTATTTTGAGTTCTGTAATAGTTCTTCCAGGAAGACAGGTAAATTAGTAAACACCGGAAAAGCTACACCCTCGTGAGATACTGAATAGGAGAACTCGAAGTAAATAAAACGTGTCCGTAAAACATTTGACGCATTACGTAAATGATTATAACTCGGAGGGATTATTTGTTTGATTCCTTGATAAGCTACTCGAGAGCTCTCTGCGTTAGCCGTCTTTAATTTTGAAATGGTAAACAAGAGAGGAGGCACCAACCACCGCCAACTCTTGAGATACTCTAATCGATTCATAAGCATTTGACAACATTTATAACGCACCGACGGGGCCAAAGTGTGGTGCATGATTTTTTATTCCATTGTTTTTTACAGCAGCAGTCGGACACAAGATTTACACCCAGCGGCAGTAATTACAAGTATCCATCTTCGTCATACCGTTAATTTTCTGTTATGATCAAATATTTAGTTCACGTGACAAGAGAAATCTTAAGACCCCCCCCCTCCAATATTGACAGAAAAGAAAAACAAAACTCGTGTAGCTGTCATTACCTGAAGCCCCCAGTAGCACAGCGGTATGTCTGCGGACTTACAACGCTACAATCCGGGTTTCGATAGCCGTGGTGGGCAGAGCACAGGTAGCCCATTGTGTAGCTTTGTGCTTAATTTCAAACAAACATTGCCTGAAACTATTTTAAGCCTACTTGTTTGTGCGAAATCAAATTTTTTTCATACCAATAACGTGGTGAACGAATTGTTTATTTGAAAATTGGGATAGATATTACTTTAAGTGCTTCGCTATAGTAGTTCCACGCCTTATGTTAAAGCCAGTATGGCAAACAAATTACGTACTAATTAGTTTTCCTACAATTTTAATCTGTTACTCTGGTATATATAACGAAAAATAACTTCGTCCAACATGAAAAAATGTTTTACCAGTCACGTACAAATGGTGACAGCAGGAAAATGTATCTCTTACTTGTTTGAAAAATACAACTTACATTTTACAATAAGATCATAGATATGGAAAAATGGATAATGTGCTAAAATCTACTGATAGATAATAATTATAAACATAACTTTGCTTTTAATACCAAGCCTGAATAATCAAATACTTACTTACTCACCCAGACAAGTTATATGTGGCTTTAAACTTTGACGCCATCTCTCGGGAACTTTTTAAAGATACTCATGTTAGCAGTTTTCTGAGAAAAAAGGGCCTGGCATGGCCAGGTGGTTACGGCGCTCGACTCGCAATCTGTGGGTCGCGGGTTCGAATCTCCATCACACCAAACATGTTCGACCTTTCAGCCGTGTGGGCGTTATAATGTGACAGTCAATCCCACTAATCGTTGGTAAAAGAGTAGCCCAAGAGTTGGCGTTGGGCGGTGATGACTAGCTGCCTTCCCTCTAGTCTTACACTGCTAAATTAGGGACGGCTAGTGCAGATAGCCCTCGTGTAGCTTTGCGCGAAATGCATAACAAACAAACAAAAAACTGAGAAAAAAAACACCTTCCGCCAAAGTGTACACTATTGAGAGAGTGTGCCCAGCATGGCCAGGTGGATAAGGCGCTCGACTCACAATCTGAGGGTCGCGTGTTCGAATCCGCATCCCACCAAACATGCTCGCCCTTTCAGCCGTGGGGGCGTTATAATGTGATGGTCAATCCCACTATTCGTTGGTAAAACAGTAGCCCA